CACCCCAGCATGCTGAGCCCCCCTGGGTGAGAGTCATCGCTGAACAGCATTCGCTTGCCCTCTACCATCTCTTTTCTACTGCTTTGCCCAGTCTCGTTTAAATGTCTAGCATTATGGAGCTTCCACCCTTCCCCTTGCAAGACGCGGTTCCAACCTAATGGAGCAACCCGTGAAGGAAACATTTTGTGACAGTCAGCTTAATTTTTGTGTGTCTTAATTGCATCTCAGGGCTTTCAGCTTCGTAATGCACTTCCAAATGGTTCTTTTCTTTCCATAGTGTTCCCACCCTTCAAATTCTTGCAGGCAGTAACCACCAGCAACACCTTCCATCCCGGCACCCCCAACCACTGCCGGAAAATGTATAACCTGCTGTCAGATACCCACAGGCACTGCAGCACAAGTTACGGGTTGTACTGAGCATGGTCTTATCAGCATTTGCAATTTTTTTCCCAGGGCAGCATTTTGCTGTTAGAAGAAATGAATCTTCTGATTTTTGCTCTGTGACGTGCTGCTCAGTGTGCTGTTGACAGCAGCATGAAAAGCTTTCGCTTCAACATCTTAATCAGCTCAGCTTATTCCATCCAGCTTCGGGGCTGTTAGCACTAAATGTGCTTTAGGGGGTTTGTAAAGACCTCCAAGAGTCCTGCGTACGGAGCAGCCCCTCTGGGAAATGCATCAGGGAGAGGAGAGATGCACATGTAGTCCAGCTAGAAACAGGGTGATGATAAGTGTTTGCAACAGAGGGAGGATGGGTTTGGACTGCAGCTCAGAAAGGGAAATATAATTTGCATAGTACACCAGCCTGATCAGTAGGGCAACAAGATTTTTTAAAAAGTGATAACAAACTGAGAACAGTTTTGATTTATTTGCTCCGTTTATTGTAGGGTAAAAGAATTGGCCAGCCTCCTTCTGCACAGTTTGGGAGCCCTCTAGCGGACCTCTCTGTCTCCGACTGCAGACACCACCCAAAACTAACAGAGCTACACAGTACCACTGTATAGGTAACAAGGCTTTTAATGTTTGCAGCTCATTAGTGATGCTTCTGTTGGGACTAAACGCCAGAGGGCTCTTTCAGTGTCTTAGACAAGGACTTGTCTGGGCTGGTTTGGATGAAGATGATCCCGCCTCAAGCAGGGTGCTGGACTGGATGAGCTCTGGAGGTCCCTTCCAGCCCTACTTTCTATAAGCTGGGACCCAGTTGGTCTCTGTGGTTCCTTTATATCTGTAATGGTATGGAGAGAGCAAAAGACAGAGCAAAGATTTGCTCTGGTGCACCGATCAGCAAAAGCTTAGCAGTGCTTTCCTCTTGATTTTGTCCTCCATTCATGACATGAAGCCTGGAAAAGAAGTATGAAGTTCAAATTGGTGGCAAAATCAAGGGCAGAATACATGTCTCTGTCTCCCAATAAACAGTTTATTTTACTGTACATTTAAAATTTCTGCAAATCCACTTTAAAACAAATGATGATTTTAACTGGCATTTATTCAGCTGAGCACAAATAACCACCGAGGTAGTTAAGCATATTAGATATAATCAAACACAACTCCAGTGAGATCTGTGGACGTGTATGACTACTGGATCTGGCCACGCTATCTGAAAAATCCTGTCATGTTACCAAATAACGTGAAGCATCACTGCCAGGGGATACGCAAATGTTGGATCTATGAGCTGCACCTTCTGCAGGACGAAGGTAATGCCGTCAGACTCTATTCAGGGAACACGATATACAAACCGCACGCTGAATCAGCTCCGTGCGCTGAAGGAGTGGATAGGGATTCTGTACATGGCTATCCTCGAGTCAGGAAACAGCCGGGGGCCGCACAAAAGTACCAGGGCCAAACCGAACGGTACCTCCCCAGGGCAGCCAAATGCAAAGGACAATTCAGAACAAGATGACTCTCCCTCTCTAGCTTCCCCTTCTAAGCCACTGCTGGACACAGATGTGTGCTAAGCTATCTGGGAAAAGCAGTATATGCCAGCCTGGGAGTATAGAGGTGTGCTGACAAGCACGTCTAGGGTAGATCAGCCCTTCTGTCATAGCAGTATATCGTTGTACTCTCTGTCCAGTCAGACACTGCCACCGCCTTTATAGGCGTTTCCTTTCATGCGCTAAAGTGGAGAGACGCACCTCCGCTTCCCGAAGCAACGCGCTGCAGCACGTAAAGAAATCTGAAGGAAGCAATGCACAGCAGACAGAGACGCTGCCTGCTGAATCAGGGCTCGGGTTCGCGGAACAAGGCCCTGGCCCGGGGTTCAAGAGACTTTGGCTTTGATTCTCACCTCCGACACACACTTCCTGTGTGGCCCTGGGCAAAACACTTGTTCTTCCTCCACCTTCATTTGCCATTTGTGAAAGAGGGCTTGCACTTCCTTTCTCCTGCTACTGGTCTATTTAGATTGTAAGTTCTTCACGGCAACAAAATGCTTCTTCCTATGAGCGTGAACAGGGCCTAGCACAAAAAGTGCTCTGACCTGGGTTACAGGAGTGCAGGTTGTAGCCGTGTCGGTCTGAGGACATCGACAGACAGGGTTCTTTGGGTAAATCTGATATCTTTTATTAGACCAGCTCCAACAGCTGGAAAAATTCTTCAGATATTAAAGGACAAAGCCAGAGGAAAATGAGACAATTCAACAGGAAAAAATGAAAGAGAGGCAAAGGAAGGCAGGTGATGACCGTCCCCGTAGCAGGCATGGCAAATGGTCCTGCCGAAGGACATGGGGCTCATGTTCTACAGAGAGCTGGCGGCATCTAGCGGCTATTTACATTCTTTACCTTGATTATTTCAGTTTAAAGTTCTTAAACTTTCCTTTTCATTTATAGACCTAGCTGGAACCAATTCAAATCCCACACAAAGCCCCTTTCTATAAGTTAGGTACATCTCCAGTCCAGTCTGCTCCCTGGTGACGGTAGATCAAATCCTAAAAGCCTGCTTACAGAAGTCGTCCTGCGTGTATCTTCCTGTACCGATCGGCTCCCCCATCAGAAGGTGACTATCACAGAGGAGACCAGGAGAGGCATGGAAACCTCAGAAATTTCCTACCCTGAAAAGTCCCCAAGACCTAAAGGCATAACAGCCCACAGAGTCTCCTTATGCCTAATGAACGGTGTTTGTGCCCGAAAGCTTGCAAATAACATTTTTCCAGCTTTTAGTTGGTCTAATAAAAGATATCACATCTACCCGAAGAGCATCGCCTGCCCGTGTCCTTCGACCAACACGGCTACAACCCAAACTCCCCCAAGACCTAAAGTGAGTTGAGAGATGCCAGGGCTGCAGGATGAAAGCTGTGAACTGGACTGTGCAGTGGGGCTGGAGACAGCTGCAGTGAAGGAGAAAATGACTATCTGACACCAGGGAAGGGATGGCAAAAATCATTATACCGTCCTAATGAAAGGCTAGATTTTCATCTTGAGAATTCAGGGAAGTGTGGACAATATTGGTTTTCAATTTGTTCAGAGAACCATGTTCATGTGAATCTATGAAGCTTAGCTTGCTTTTGCCAGTGTACTTTCAAATGAAAAGGCGGCTTGTTCTGAGCCTTTAAAACCATAGAAACTGAGGGCTGTTTACAGACTTCTTTTTTATATATAATTACTTATTAATTTATTGGGATTCTGTTGTGAGGAAACTAATTTCTGTGACCCTTTAATGAATATAAATAAAACTATTCATTGTTTCAGAGGCTCTTTTTTTTCTTAGCAGGATAACAACACTAAGCAGTGCTACCCAGCATGCAAGGAAGGTGACCACAGCTATAGACCCCGGGGCACAGGCAGCTAGATCCCTTGCGATATGAACACGTGAGCAGAGAAGGACTTTAGCCTGTCCAGTTAAGCTTGCTTTAGCAGAAGTGATTTCATAGCTTTTTAAAATTGCCTTGCCTGACATATATTTTATATATATTTTTGGTACCTTTACAAGTTACTAAATGTGTGAAAGAGATTTCTTTTTCCTCAGTTTGATTCAGGTGCTGTTGGTCATTTGGATGCATATCAGGCTCTTTATGCAAGTGAAGACATATTAGTCTGTATTAGTTCTGGGATGTCTGATATCTTGCATCACAACTGGCGAATTCACTGGGATATACCAGTACAATGATTAAAAAGGTAAGCGAAAAAAAATCTTTGCTTTAATTTCTATTTTCATATTCATAAAACCTTTTAGCATGGCATACACAAACCAATAACAATACAGTGTAGTTGTGTGTAGCGGAGCAGAGAATTTTTTACCTATAAGCAGGAAGGATCCCGGGGCTAAGCTATCCTCTGCAGATTTTCCTGTGAATAATTCGACTATGGGCACAGCTATACATAACGACAGCTCTGTTTGCCACATTCAGTTTGAAATGTGGTGCTGAAAAATAAAGCTGTAACCTCTGCCAGGCAAACACAGTGCATGGGAATCGTTTACCCTGACAATTTGTCTCCCGACCTGAAACCATACTTGAGCTGCCACAGGACGGCAAAGTTACTGCATTCCACGTTGTGTGTGTACATTTAATGATATGGATATGCTGCCATGACCCTTGTTCGTCTCTGATCCAAGAAGATTATATACTATAAGAACCCAGAGTGAGTCATTTGAATGAACCACAAGGCTCTTACACTAACCTCTCAAGCTTTATACTACTACACACTTTCCAAAAAGTAATAGAGAATACTTTCTATGTTCTTTCAGATGATATTAAGAAGTCTTTTCCAGGTTCGTTTTTGTTTGTGGGATTTTGCTAGTAGGTTTTAGAGCAGGAAAGAAGTTTACCTGCAACATGCATCACTAATGTAGATATTCAATTTAAATGCAACAACATGGAAAGATGAAGAGGGCAAGAAGTGGATTCTGGGGTCCCGAAGCAAAAAGCATCATGGCAGCTCCCCCACTCCCATCCCCCAAACCATCAGCATTATCTGAGCAAAGACAGATCTCCTCCATTTTTGGCATTTATTTGATTTATGTGCCCCCCTACTCAAAGAAGGCTCAGAGTGGTTTACATCATGTTTTTATTGATGCTAAATTGGCGCTCTTGCCTTCTTCAATACGCATCATGCCATCCCAGCTAATTATAAAAGTTGATTTTAGGAAAAAGTTAAACAGATTACATCTTCATGTATTTGGCATAATGGAAATTTGGGTTTTTTGGTTTTACAAAGTTGATGTGGCTCTACACAATAACCAAACCAATGCAGTGGTGGCTGTAGGCACAGAAAAACCTAGGAGGTGGCTCATTTTCTTAGCAAAAAAGCCAAATGCTCCTGACTCTGAAAGGAGTGAAAAGTTGCAGGTTTTTTTAGCCCCAGCAGCTTTAAGATGTTGCTAAGTGCTTTGTATTTCTATCCCAGGCAAGGAAGCAGGAAGGAGGATGCTGGAAGGCATTTCACTGAGGACCAGAGGCACCTCCAAGGAGAAAATGAGGCTTTGGAGGCGAGGAGTCAGCACTGGAATCCCATAGACTTCTAGGTCTTTTCTTTGGGCCCAGGTAGGAACCTGCAAAGTCTGGGCCTCTTGTAAATATTCCACTGGTTGGCAAGGAAGTGCTCCTTAGCGGGCGCGTCTACATAAGACACTATGGTGCAGTAGCTCATTGCTACTATGTCGTAGTGTTGGGGGGCACTAACTGTGACAGCGATGGTACTGCACAGTAGCAACGAGATACTGCACAGCAGGATCAGGAAAAAAACGTGCAGGGACAGTACTGCGCAATAACGCCGGGTACCGCACAGTCATGTAGTACTTGGCTCTGCAAGTACTAAATGGCTGCGCAGTCCACCGCTTTGTGTAGATGCAGCCACTGTGGGCAAAATCACTTGGTTCATTTCCTGTCTTTACTGGCCCTGTGAAGTCTTATTGGGTGGTGTCTCTGGAGGCAAATAATATCTAGTGAGGAAAGAGGAACAAAGGCTGATTTCTGTCAGATTAATGTTTGAAATAACTAGGGAGACATGAGCGTAAAACAACAAGCTGTTTACTTAGCATACTCAGTGAATTACTACATACAGTGTCTTCCTCATTCCCTTTGAGCTCTCCCCAGAAAGCCCTCCTCTCCTAGGGGGGACCCTGTGATTGCAGAGGCAATAAGAACTGACCTTCTCCTGAAAACTAAAAAAAAATAAAATAAAATAATAATAATACTTATAAAAGAAATACAACAACAACACAGTTACGCCGACTTTGGAATTGAATCTGTCGGTGCCTTGAAGTTGTCAGACTCGTAACAAGGCTCCAAAACAGATTTAAACTTGACTTCTTCTGTCAGCTTTGGTGCCTCTTCCCGTCTGCTGCCATCTCTCAGTAGAGGAACTAAAGTTTTCCAGTTTTTCCCTGAAACTTATAAGGAAAAAAGCAGTTAATGTTTCCCACCACACACTTGCATAGAAAAGCAGAACAGAGCAGTTTCAGCATGGGAGGCCAACAACAGAATAAAGCAGAAGTGAGGAGTCCAGTTTTAGCGAGGGTTTTATTCTTCTGTGTCTTTGAGCTGCCAAGTGTAGTATCGACAGACCTTAGCAGGGGTCTTCTTTTGCAGTGCTTATTGAGCCGTGGCTTGGCTGGGCTCAGCCTCAGGAGGTCGCTGCTCCAGCTCTCCATGGCTGTTGCCACTCAGCTTAACTCTTTCAGGATTTCCTGCCTGTTCCACACCTCCCAAAGTTTCCAAAGAGGAAGAGGAGGAATTTGTGAGGAATTCCCAAAAATGCAACTGTTTCATTGATAATGAATCAGCTCACTGTCACCCAATTACACAATTGTATCAATTCAACAGCAGCTCATTTAACTATGCAACCATCATTAGGAAGTGTAGAAATGGCTCTAACCATTAGACTCTGCTGGCTCTGTAACCAACCTGTAGTCCCATACTGCCAGAATACATCAAGAATGAAGGTGTGTTATGTTTCTAGAATCCTCACCTCTGCCAGCTTTAAAGGAAAAACTGGAGTTTCGCTTCAAATCTCCATAGTATCCAGGGTCCTCATTGATTATGCCCAAATTTGTGTTCCACGTGGACCAGTTCACTTCATCAACTCTGGAGAGAGAAAAAGAAATGGATTCGCTGCTCAGCTCTGGAGAGAAAACAACAAGAGCAACTGCCTACCAAAAAGGGCTTGGATTTATTCCCCAGAAAGCAATCCAGAGTCTCAAGGACCCTGTGCACAATGCGTTTTTCTTGCACATGTAGAAGAGTAATTATGACTGTTTGAGTATGTAATGCATATAGCTCTATCCCTGGAAGTGTTTTAAGAGAAGTGTCTCAGAACGGCGCTAGCCCAGCATTAACAAGGAACTGAAGTTCTCTGCAGGTTTAATGGTCAGTATGTTCTGGGACGCGGGACTCCTGGTCCTGAGTTACCTGGGACTCCTGGTTACAGAGATCAGACACTTGCTCTCCATATTTTAGGTCAGATTCTCCCCATGGAGAACTTCATGTCAACATGAACTTTTGAGGTCCAAGCAATAAAGCAACATAAAAACAGGCATGGAAAGAAATCAGCTTGGCTTCCATGTCCTTTCATTGCCAGGCCAGCTATAATACTGCCTTGACATTTCAGTGATGGGAAGCACTGCAGGAGGGGACATGGTATTGCTTTAAGATGAATGGTCTGTCTAGTATTTTGGCACCCAACAGATGGGCTGTCATAAAAGCAACTGAATACCAGTACAGTGTCTAGTCCACATGGTTAAATCAATGGGACCTTAACAGAGCAGTCTTTCCCCAGCCCCACACTGAAATAGATTTCAGAGTTTGGGAGCATTTTGGCAATTTCTTCTCTATCGCCAGAATTGGTGCTTCAAGGAGAGGAAGCCCAAGTCTAGGTTGCAGGTGACTGTGCTGCCCTCAAGCGTGCCAGGCTGCTCCACATGCAGTCCTCCCAGACTAGAGCCAGCATTGCCAGGTCCACTGCGGAGAGTCTGCAGCCTCTGCTAAGACTGCCATTATTTAGTGCCCACTGGGGAGATATTTAATTTTGTGGTGGATTAAAGTCAAGAAGGGACTGGACTAAGAAGCTGTTTCATGCAGGTCTCTCAACAAGAAAACCCTGAGGGTAACACTTGTTCATCCTAAGTGTGGTCACAAGTCCACAAAGGAAAAAAGTCCCCCTTCCCAGTACCTGTTATTGAGCTATCCTAGCTCTGTGAACACCTCTCTGCCAGAAGTGATCTATTTAGGACATAACCAGGTTACCTGAAGCACCATCTATAATCGTCCTTGCCGTCAGGTGTCGTCCCCACTAAGACTCGCTTCCCGGATCGGAAAGAGCGTCTCACACAGTTCAGGTAGCTGTTCTCAATGTCCAGGATGGTGATGGCTCTCTGCCAGGAGAAACAAGCAAGAGGAATGGGAAACAGCTGTGGTTTAGATGCATTTATATGAATGTCAAGTCTTACCTCTATAAGAAGAATCCCCAAGTTTTCACCCTCCTCAGTGGCAGTGATTACACCCACTGCAAACTTTTTCTACATGTGTATGTTGCTCAAAAAGACGGATTGTTGTAGCTGGAATGATTATGCTCATTTTCTTAAGCAAAGTAATTGCTAACACAGCACAGTCTGCAAGACTAGCAGCAGGCACTCGGCCCCCCTACACAAACCCTGTTCTTCCAAGTGCTGACCATCATTTCCTATTGTCAAAAGCCAAAATTGCCTCTTTGTTCTCAACTCTATTAATGTTTAGTTACAAAAAATATGTATTTAATTTCTTAGATTGTAAACATCTCAGGCACCCTGGGAACTTCTCTGAAGCAGTGCATTGTATATGAGAAAGGGAAAGGGGAGGCCAAGTTTTAGAGGCATATTTTGATGGTTCAGGAATCAGGAGATAGAAAAATGAGGAAGGTCTGTTAGTTTAGGAACACACCAGCTCTTCCAGCCACGCTTGAACGCAGTCACCACTTGCACACGCTGGTTCTGATGCCAACAGAAATAGCAGAATCCCAGGGGAGAAGCCAACCAACCTGGAGTTTCCAAATGCTTTTGCTCTCTTGTGCGATCTTGTTCACCGTCTCCCCCATCAGCGCAATGAGCATGTTGAGCAGGAGGATGTAGGTGAGGATCACGTACAGGACCAACAGGATGACAAAGACAGACTTGAACCTGTAATTCTCGGTGAACTCCAGATCCCCCATGCCAATGGTGAACTTGAACAGCTCCAGGCAGGTGTAGTAAAGGTTGTTGTAGGATGTGCGGCTACGCTTCAGTTGGCAGCATCGGGGACAGTCAGCAGTGCTGTTGTCTTGTCCCTCATTGTCATCTTCAATCAGAGTCACCACCGCTGTTGCAGACAGGAGGAGCCATGAGTGCAAGATTAAAATACAAGGGTGAGACCATGTTGGTTGTGCAAACAATGAGAAATATGCAACAGGATACCAGACTAGGCACCATATGGGGGTGGTCATGGGTCACAGCTGGAAATTCAGAGATCAAAACCTTTTGGGGGGAAAAAGAATAAGACTCTAAAACGGTCTCCTTCCCTCCGAGAGCTTCTGATCATTCAAAAACGTGGTGTCTCAGGTTTTTCCCCGGCCATCAGTCAAACGAGAATAATGCAGCTAAGCCAGGTTTGTAAAACACCTTGAAGGACAGAAGAAAGATGCACCTGGAAAGTGCTACGTTTTATTGTTCTTTATCTTTTCTACATTTCTTTGTTTTCACTGAATAAGGGGACATCTAAGCTGTCTGAATTTGTTCTTTAAAAGAATTTGACATTTTAAAAAAGGGGCAAGGCAACATTACCTGTGGAAAATCCCAAGAGAAATACTAGGTAGACAAACATGAAGCGACATAAATCTCTCAGGATCATCTGCAAGAGGGAAATGGAACATTTTCATATTTGCAGAAATTCAATACAAACTTCACTTGCAACTGGCAGCAAGTCCTGGTTGCTTGAAGACCCTTTGCTGTGAACTGGTCTTATGCCAGAGCCACGCTTGTCATACAGAAAATAAAACATACACATGTGGTTTAAATAAAACAAAACACAACGTGCCAAGCACCCTGGACTTTGTGGCTCTTGGACCCCTTCTACGGGTAAGTTGGCAGGATCACCTCTAGTGGGGGTCTACAAAACAGACAGCTGTTGCCCAGACTCACCTTCTCAATCATGACCGAGTAAATGCCCATCTGCTGGAAGCCTCGGGTGTAATACAGCATGTTGGCCCAGCCCAGCGCCAGGGAGAAGACCATGGAAGCCACGTACAGCTCCTGCCCACTGAAGTACAGCACCAGGGAGCTCAGCAGGAGCAGCGAGTGGACAAAGCTGAAAGGCGAGCAGGGTCTTAGTGGTGGGGGCAGATTCTACCAGGCGTGGCATGCAAGGAGGAACATGGGGGCAGACAGCCATCACAGAGCCCCTCTACCAGGCATGCCCCGAGTCCCAGAGCGCTGCTCCCTCAGCACAGAACTAGGTACCATTTCAGGGGGGCTGGATTGTGTAACAGCCCCCAGCTGGCCAAGGCAAATGGTTCAAATCCTGCCAAGCCGCAGACCCCCTTGAAGACAGGCGAGGTGTCAGCACAGACCCAGTGCACCCACCCAGGTGGAAGCCAGGAGCCTAGTGGAAAAGTCAGGGCCCACAAAGTCCCTGTGGGCCAGGCCTAGGCCAAGCTGAGGCTATGGGTCGCATAGGGTCATGAGTGCCTCACTCAAACACCAAGAGAGAAACTGGGGAGCTTACAAAAGAACCTCACTGTAGCTGTCCGCTAGCAGGGTCCGGAACGACGGGCGCCTCTGCACAAAATACTGGATCTGCAAGAATATGGGACGGGAAGGTTGGCATCCAAGGGGCAAATACACTTCCAGCCTGAATCTATCCTGTGGCCCCTTCGTGCAAGTGCTTGCCAAAAGGAGATACCAGCCTGACAAAACGATGCCATTTATCTTTTATCGGGGTCCTGAGGTCTGAGATGCTACTACAGCAAGAGCCCTCAGAAGTACAGAGAAGACTGGCCAAGCAGGGTACGGGCTGGGAGGAGGGGAACAGCTGCTCCGTACTCAGCCCACAAGAGCCTCCCAACAGCAGCAGATGTCCCAGTGAGTCCCAAGGCTCGGAGCTGTATACTAGAAGGGCAAACTGACTTGAAGCTGGCATTGAGGATCTTCATGGGGCAAGCCTGGCTGTGGGCAGTACCCCCTCCTAAAGCTGTATCCAGGCTGGTATCTCCACTCAGCCATACCCAGGCTTTTTAGGGCCTTGCCTTAGCTTTTTGACTCAGTAAGAAGCTGACAGCAACTCAGCAGACCACACCAAACTACCTAAGACTTTGGGGTGAGGGATGGATGCTTCTGGCCACCAAACCCAACAGGGGGCTTTTGACTCCCACCTACTCACAAGGCTTCAGAGGGGACATTTCAGATGTCTTACCCCTCTGGAAAAGAAGTAGAGACCTCCCAGCACGCTCAGGATCTCTCCAGTGACACGGAAATACTCCCCAGTGCTGTAGCCAAATGCGAAGGGAGGCTGCTGGACATAGGAATGTGGGGTCAGGATGGTGGGAGATGGAACAGATCCATCTGCTCAGCAGTTAAGGGGGCTCAGCTGCCAGTAGGGTGGCTGTAAAGTGCACAGCTCCCTCCATTCTCCAAGGAGGGTGGTGTGGGACAAATCCCTCCTCTGTCCTTCCACCCTTCCAGGAAAGGAGTCCACTGAGCTCCGGCACCTTGAGCACGGGCTTTGAAAAGGGAGCAGGTCTGAGAAGCTGCCCTCTAGGTGGTTACTGAGATGTGCGACCAGCCACTTACTTCTCTCTCCTTTTTCACAGGCCGGTAGTAGGCGGCGATGGTGAGTATGATGATGTGGATGGCGTACACACAGAAGTTGAAGTAAAACAAGTGTTTGACAAACCGGTCCCACTTGTCCTGCAGCAACCTGTTCAGTGGTTCCACCAGCAGCATCTCATGGCGATTCTGAAAGGGGATAAAGACAACTAGAGGGCGAGTCCCAAAGCAGCTGGTAAGCACACGAGCTGAGCAAGCACACCTGCAGTGCCACCTTCCCGCAGTGCTTTGAGGCTTTGCAAACAGCAAGTGAAACCCCTTTGGCCCTAGCACCCCCCATCCAAATCCCACAAAGCAGAGAAGGGCCCTGATCCTGGTTTCACAGATGGATGCTCTGAGGTAGAGTGACTTGCCCGACACCTCATGGTGAGTCAGGAGAATGGCTAAGAACAGAAGCCAGGAGTCCTGCCCCCCAGTGCCCTGAAAATGCTTCCTTGTTGGAAACCAAAGAAGCGGCACAAGGGACAGACTTGCTGTAGGGCACTGGTGTGGGACCCTTACATGTATGGGTGAGCATCCTGCCTGTGGTAGCCCTGACCCAAAAATTCCCCTTGGCTTAGAAGTGGTAAATGCCAAGATCAGCTTCCGCAGTTGGGTGGCAGCACGTGGGCAAAAGAAACGTCAGCACACATGCATACGCCAAGAAAGAAATGAGGGCTGTCTTCCCAATTTCCACCTGCTTTTAAACCTCTGCAAACCTGCTGGAAGACGCTGCATGCAGAACACAGGGAGACCACCAATTCCCTGCAGAAGGTGCTGAGGGGGTTTCCATACTTACAGGGGTTTCGCTGCTATAGGCAATGATCTCGAGCACAGAGTTTCTCTCACACGTGTCTACAGAGGACAGGTCATACAGAGAGGAGTGGACAGGTCCATAGGCCCATTCGGTGAACTTTCTAGACAGGTGCCTACACTCGGGGTCTTTGATCTCTCGTCTGAGGATATAGGCGAAAATCTAATCACGAGAGAATAATAAGCAACCAGCATTTTAGCTTTTGTGGAGTGGTGATTCTTCAGCATTTCAGTAGCACAGGAAATCAAGTTCCTTTCTGAGACAGCCCCACAGAGCACTGCGTGATGGCTGCTAATGGCAAGCTCCGAGCTAACGATCTCATTGTTCTGGGGCATGGGACAATGCAAACATAGCAAAGAGCCGGGTGCAGTAATACAAAGGACCTTCTCTGCTCTCCCCAAGGTGGGGCTTGTGACTGCCTTTGGCCCCTCAGCTCTGAATGAGAAAACCTGAGGCACCTGTTCCACATCCCTCCGAGGTCACTGCCATGGTGAACAGGGAGTGTTTTGAGATGGGCTGTAAAATTTACTTGCCATACACCTGGTAGGCCCAGGCGGGAGTTGCGACAAATCTTACAGCGCTTTGGCTGTACCATGGATTGTCTGAGGTGGTAGTAGGTCAGTGACTAATGCATGCCCACCTACCCCTATCTTCCCCGTCTTTGCTGCCAAGGTCAAAGGAGTCAGGCCCTTCTTGTTAGCGAGCTCTTCCAGCTTCAGCATCGGGTTAATTTTGGCTCCAAGGATCAAAATGTTGTTGTACATCTTGGTGACAAACTTGGTGTTATCTTTGGTGTTATCTGCCACTTCCACCAGCGCATGCAGGACTGTGTTTCCCATGGAGTCCTCGGCCACGATGTTGGCTGGCTGATACGAGTTCTCCAGGAGGAATTTCACGATGCACAGCTGGTTGGTGCAGGCAGCAAGAGAAAGAGGCAGCTCACCTAGTTGGCAAGCAACAGTGAAATGCTGGTCAGCAAACACACCCGGTGCACCATGGGCACTGCACATGCCTCACATGAAGAGAGCCTACAGTTTGTCTCCCCCTCCAGGACCCCTCTCAGTCTTCTCTTCTCTAGACTAAATACGCCCCATTCCCTCAGCCTCTCCTCAAGAGTCATGTGCCCCAGCCCCCCAACCATTTTCATTGCCCTCCACTGGACCCTCTCCAATTTCTCCACATCCTTTCTGTAGTGGAAGCCCTAAAACTGAACACAGGACTCCAGATGTGGACTCACCAGTGCTGAATAGAAGGGAAGAGAGTGCTGAATAGAGGGGAAAAATCATTTCCCTGGACCTACTGGCAACACTCCTACCAATGCAGCCCAGGATGCCGTTAGCCTTCTTGGCAACAAGGGCACACTGCTGGCTCCTATTCAGCTCGATGTCTACTGTGACCCCCAGATCCTCTTCTGCAGAGCTGCTGCCCAGCCAGGCAGTCCCCAGCCTGTCCTGGTGAGTGGGATTGCTCTGTCTTAAGTGCAGGACTTTGCATTTCTCCTTGTTGAACCTCATAAGATGAATACAAGCCCCTACCGAAATAAAAGCCTGGCTTCCCTTTGATTTTTCTGAAGAACTCGCCGTGGGCTCTGGCGTGAACATCTGCTCCATTTCGGACCAAGAGCTTCACCAGATACATATTCCTCCTTTCAATGGCAATATGGAGTGCGGTCTGACCTAGGGAAACACTCATCAGACCACAAAATTCCCTAATGCAGGCAGCCGTCAGGCACTAGGGGCTCTGCCTTCCAGGGTGAGCTCAATGCCGGGGAGAAGTCCCAGCTGGGTGAACAGAGCTCTGTTAACCAACCAAAGGGCCAAACAACACACCACACCCAGCACCACACTGGTGTACAGCTAGAGGTGGAGGAAGGAAACAGGACTGTACAGCCCCAGCACTGTGCAATCCAGATAGTCCAGAAATGCACTAACTACTAAAATCTCCGGCACTTCGTGGTGCTCCTTTCCCAGGAGCAAGCTCCTTCTGGAGCCCTTGGAGAGGGACAGCTGAGGGCCACACAGCCCTGGGTAGCCCTGGCCATTTAACACAGGAATAGGCAAGGTTTCACGCCATGCCAGCTGCCTCTCTTACCCTTGTAGTAGTTGTCAGTATACCCAGCGTTAACAAACTCTTTCAGATTGCCTGTTTTCTCTGCAATGTCCAGCAGCAGGGGAATGGCGTTGTTTTTCCCTTCATGCAGGTTCAGCATGGCTTTCAACAAACAGGTCTTCCCGGTCTCCGGCTCTAGAATAGAAAAGATCACAGCTATATTGAGGTCGTTACGAACCCGCCCACTACCAAAGCAAGCAGCAATCACAAGGGATGGGAAAACTAGCCATGCTTAGGGTTCCTCAATTTTTTTCCCAAAAGCTCCACAGAAAACTGGAAAAGCACTGCAGACAACAGGACCCAGGGTGTGATTTTGCTCTGTCCTGTAGTTAACAGTATTTTGCTTCAAGGTCCAACGGCACCACTGGAGGAGGACTGGTGTACCTTTGAACTCATCATCTGTGAGATGCTTCAAGGTCCGGCTGAGATACATCGGCAGGTGGTCCAGATCACTTACGTCGCCCTGGGCTACAGCGTCAAAGATCCTCCTGCGATCGTAGTACTTGAAAGCTTTATCCGAGCAGCTTGTGATGGACTCAGTGGACAGGAGCCTGGCAAGGGGAATTTGAAGTTACTGAGACATAAGGGCAAAAAACTGCCAGACTTAAACACCACCAGCCAACGGTGCCTTCATTTCTGGCAGAGCAGCACACGTGACTGCTATGTACACGGAGCTGCAAAGTCTGTAAAGTCATGGAGGTCTAGGCAAATGAAGGCCTTGGTGAAAAGTTAAGAATAAGGGTTCAAGTCCAGGGAAGCAGCAGGGAATAGTGGTCAGACTGAAGGCCTGGGAACCAGAATCTCCTGACACTGCTAGTGGTCTTGGGCGAGTGCCTGACTAGCCACAAATTGAGAGCAAGATACCCAACAGCCTCATTTTCAGACATGTTGGTGACCCAGAGCTCTTATGGGCTTCACTGGGTGATTACCTGGGATACAAATCCAGGATGGGCCATGGTCATTCAATGAAACCTGGTATTGGAGGCTCTTCCATTCTTCAGCCTAGGAATCACTACTTTATCTGCTGTAGACGTCAAACACCGTGGTGCAGTGAGCCAACAACCCCTGTCAATCTACGCCCACTGCAACAGCAACTTACTTGCCAAAATGATGGTGAAACTTTCCTCTTTCCAAATTGGCACTGAACTTGATGATGGGCGGAGACATCAAGTGGTCCATCGGGTAGAAGGAGTCCATGGGAGCCATGTCCTTATCACTGTCCCCCATCACGAACCGCCCTCGGCGGCTAAAGATGTTGCTTTTGGGCGGCGGCTGCAACTTGGTGCTCTGGGTGCCCTGCAGGCTGTCGGGGGTCCCCAGAGTGGAATCCTCCCCGTCCGTGTGCTCGTCGGTGACTTCAGATTCCTCCACATCAGAGCTGCCGAATTTCTTCATCATTCCCAGGATGGACGACATGGTTCATGGGCAATCTGCAAGGAACCCAGGGACACTAACACCATCACTTGCTTTGGGATTTTCCTCCAACAGGAGGAAGCAGGCTGCTGTACCCACAAGCCAGGAAACCCCCCTCACCACCCAGGCCTCTCCCCACCAGGAGGCACTGAGCTACCCAAGCAATGCACTCTCCTGTTGGACCCGCCACCATTTTGTCAGGTGGGTGGCTCACTTTTGCCCCGTGCTACGTAACTATGTCACTCCAAAAGCCTCGAACACTAGCCGAAGGCAATGAAAGGGACACACTTCTTGCAAGACAGCCCAGCGTCAAAGGGTTCTGCAGCCTCACCCTAAACCCAACCGGCCTCACTCGGAAATGGAAGATCATCCTTACGCACCATGTTAAGGGAGCACAACAGCTTGAGGCATCAGAGAGGCCCAGCCAGGAGAAAACAGCTGAGCTGCTCTGTGAATGATTAGGCCCTAAACAACTTCCTTCAGCCAGTGGAGTTACGCTTACCCCAGTGTGCACAGACACAGATCCAGGCCCAAGCACAAACTCCTTGTCACCCACCGCCCTCGCCCTCCATCCATCTTAGTCCATAGGACAAGATTCGCAGGGCATGCAAAGGGGAAGGGGCCAGCCGTGTTAACTGAGGGATATGCTGGAAAAAGTAAAGCACTGATGCTCAGGAGAGCTGACGAGAAAGGGATGGAGAGAGGAGGGGTGGTAACATGAATGAAACAGGGGTCCAGCCAATTTGCAGTGTAAAGTGTTGCTGGGAAGGATTCAGCAGACGGGACCATGAAGGTGAGGCTGAGCTGCTACAGGTGGGTTTCTCTGCCAGGGGCTCATCATAAGCGAGGTAGTAATTAAGTCTTCTACAGGGAGACGTTCAGGATGGCACTTTGAGGGCTGCCTTAGCCACACAGACAGAGCCTGAACTGCCATCCCAGCACAAGGTAGCTGCATCTCAGCCACGCTGGAAGAAAGGGACATGCTGCAAGCGTGGACAGTTACCACGCAAGGATTGCAATGGAGCTACTGTGGCACTGAACTGGCAGAAAGGAGCAAAACGAGCCCAGCAAGGGCAGCCAGGAAGCAGGTGGTATGAGGAAGCTGAAAGTCAGCTTAGGGACACTAAGAGAAATGAAAAAGTCACTAGAAAGTGGAGCTGCCTGGATCTGACCCAATTTACAATCGTGAACACAATGACAGAGCGCAGTACATAGGCTAAAATTGCAACAGGGAACATCTTTTGTCTGTTCTCTTACTGAAGTGTTATAAACAGCCAACTGTCCATCCGGTCTGAATGAAAGGAAAGGAGCCAAACTGATAAAAGGCATTTAGCAACCACTGCTCATTTTGCTATTTGATGGAAAATACTCTGGAGCTTCAGCAGTAGAGAAAACAAGGCACCCTTCTCCTTTGGAGCTCTGGCACCACCAGCTTTGTGACGGCCTGGAAGATGCAAGGAAACATTCCCCAAAACCCCACATTGTCCTGGAAACTCTAATAATTTGATTGTAGGAATTTTATAAAGCCATGCAACAGAAAGTCCCGTCACCAATAGACAGATCTCAGTGCTAAATATTATTCCGCACGCCTGGAGTGATCAGATTCAGAAACATACTTCTACCCAAGTTCAGTTCTCGCAAATACATGATGGTCGAGTGTTAGCAAAACCATCGTTTAGGATAGACCAGGATTTTCAGTACCATTTTGTCCAGGGACTTAATACAATTTTCTATTCAATTAAAAATGGAATGAGATCTTTGTTGCCTATTTGACTATTCTATAATGATGCAGGATAGATATCTAAAGATCTAAACCATGCATGACTTTACATGGACAGCAGCTGAAAACAGGAGAGTGAGAGATGAAATTTAATTTCCACTTTTATGGTTCTTGACTCAACGTTCTGCATCTGCGTCCCCCTTCACAAAAGTAAATAGAAAATACTATTTCTTAAAACTAACATGAGAAATAATGCAAGAAGATGAATTTATCATTCAGAATTTGCTATTAAAAATTCTGAAGGACAATTAAATTCAAGAAGGAATTAATAAAAATGTTTAGAAATATCCGAAGCCCTGGGCAAAGAGCACAGCCATGTGGGAGATGCGTGTGGTCTCCTGTCAGGGGATGTAGCTCTGAATGCAGCACAAGTACAGTCCTGGAAACAGAACAGGTTCAGTGGGAAAGAGCAGGGCTTGGTCTCCTCTCCCCACCGACATCCCTCAACCTTGCTTTAGTCTTTCCATGCACTTTCTAGAAGCACTTGGTTGAGATTTCCCACCGAATGCAAAGCTTCAGGCAGACATGAATTTGCAATGTAAGTGAAACTGCAAAACTCTGCAGAACAAAGTTTGGAGCTTCGTATGGGCTATCCCAGTAAAGTGTACATAATTTGGGCTCATCTAATACAGTGGATATCAAGATTTAAGCCTATGCAGCAAGGGAAAAAAAGGAGATTTTGCTTACAACTCTCTCAAATTAGCAAGTCTTACTAAGGAGCAATTCACAAACAGTGTACAAGCATGCTATTCAAATACACAGGCAGGACTTACAAGAGCTGCAGAGCAGTCCAGTCTCAGTGAGAGCTCTTGATCTGCAGGAGATTTTGCCCCTACCGTTTCAAGAACTTCAATGCATGGGGAGTCCTCTTCTTAGGTGATCTGAGTGGAGCAATAACTCTGTTCTCCCGACCACTTCATTTGTCTGCAGGGTTGTTCTACACTCAGATGGTTTGAGTCAGGGTACGTTCATCAGAAAAAATGAGGACTTGAGTAATAAAATCATTAAGAACAATCCTGGAAGCAGAAGCAACAGCAGCAGCAAATCCCGGGAGTGTATCAAAGCTCTTTACAAGAATCTCAATGTTGGTTTTTTTTTCCCTTCCCCAAATTACATTTAGTAATGGACGCTCCTTTCCAGATTTCCTCTTCACAAACACATTCAGTCTGGCCAAAAAAACAAAAAACAAAAAAACACAAGGAAAAAAATCACTTGTTTTGTGTAGGTCTGCTGCTCATGCTACTAACAGAAATCTGTAGAATACGCTGTACCTCTTCATCTTTCCAGTGACTGTTGAGGATGTTATCATAAAAATCTACCTGGTATCCAAAGAGGAGTTTGAGTGTTTGGTTCTGAACAGAGCTGATGGACTTGAATAACAACAAACTATCTTAATGCCATTTTATTAGACCATTTTCATACTATGATTCATGTAAATAATACATTCTTACATTAGTTGGCTTTTAAATATTAATGCAATTAGCAAAACAGCACAGCTCGGAAACATGAAGTTGTTTGTTATCAAATGTAGGCTGGTTTTATTTCACTGGAGAACGAATTGGGAACCGTGGGACAGTGAATTACTCTATCTACCACACTCCAACAGCCCTCAAATCTACCTGCAAGTCTCCGGGCTTGATTCTGCTCCTAGGCCTACACTAAGAGGAGGCCCTCCAGATGGACTGCGAAGCCAGTGGCATTCGAGAAGAGTAAAAGAGCAGAGGCAATGACATCGGTTTCCAGTTTGGGTTGCAGACACACCACCAGATTTCAGACCTCATAGAAGAAACAGAAAGTCTCAAGGTATCAGTAGCATGGACACTGGAGAGCAAATAAGACGAGAGACAGGAGAGGATTGAGTTGGTGTCCATTTGCAAGAGCAGGGGACAGACAGTCAGATCACACACACACACGAGGAAAGGTAATAAAAGGAACACTTCAGAATTGGGGTTTACCCATAGGTTTGCACAACCCACACGGGATCAAATTCACTACGTGCGTCTTGGGGAAAGTTGTGGAGGCGGGTGTCCAGCAACATTTCTTTAAGAAAAATGAAGCCCCATCTAGAACCCATTATAGGAAAGACTTCTATACTGAAGGACACAGGGATGCACCGTCTGTAATTTCTCTTGCGGCTCTGCCTCTATGTAGACAACTGGAGTGAAAGATGAGCCATTTCCATGGAAAACCCAAAAGAACAGTCATGTTATAAAGCAGCCTTCTGGAATTATAGTGGCTGTGTCACCTCTATGAGGAGCTCATGATTACAGACCAAAGCAATCCAGAAAAGGCTAACGTTTATCGCTTCCAAATAGGGGATGAACATCTCAATACATCCTCAGCATGTGCAGACAAGAAAAGAGCAAAGGAGCATTTCAGCACAACAGCTCTTCAGCTATCTTCTCACTGTGAACGAACACCAAAGAAAATTGTGAGCAATTCCTGAGAAACAAGGTCCTGCCCAAGTGCACTACGTACCAGGATTTCAACAGTGTCAGCTGCTGCCTAGACCTCTCACAATGGACAGTTCTGAAGAACCTAAATTAAAAAACAAAAGCAGCTTCAGATTTGATGTTCAGCTCCCTTTCACAAGCAGAAGCAGAAACAAATGGGAAAGCTCGCCTAAAGCAGGCCAAAAGCACTAGCTACATGTCTAGCAGGGCTTGCCGAAATGGCTTGAACTCTAATCCTGGTCCCAGTTCAAGGACATTACTGTGATTTACATCAACACTGGAAGGCAGAAGAACAAGGTCAAACACTTGCGTCTAGCAGGGAGTAACAAGTTGTCTCTGTGAGGACAGCATATGTTGTCCGTCTGTATGAGAAACTGCGCTGATCCCCATTACTGGGGTAATGCAGACGGATACAGAGACTTGACCAAGGTAGGTTAGGAAACCCCTGGCACAGCAGAGAACTGAACGTGGGTCTCCCAAGGTCCTGGCTAGTGTCTGGACCACACATCTACTGCTTTGTGAGGCATGGCAGCCATCCATCACAGCTACAGGAGGGAACTGCAACAAACAGCATCACCCTGAGCTAGTAGCTAGGATGTTCGTGGCAGCCTTTCAGAGCCATGCAAGAGTCAGAGTGCTCCAGCTGCAGTAACTAGATATTCAGAGCCCTTCAATTATCCCCGTTACTGTTTTGTACATCCAAAAAAAAAAAAAAGTCACCCCCCAGGGCTTGGTAGTGGTTTCCCACCTACTTCTCAGTCCCCAGGTTTCTTTTAACCCTTTCTGCTAAGTGCCCCTTCTAGCTCCTTTTCTGAGTTCTGGATGTAGGCCCTCTTTCACTCTTCCCCTCCTGGCGTGCACACATTTTTGGAGCATCTCCCTATTTCTTGGGCTTTGTGTACTTCCCCTTCCCTTCATGGGAAAAGCAGAGCTGATGTTGCTTTCTCGCGGCTCTCTCCTCACTGACTGATCCCTTTACACCTTCTCACACCCGCAACAGCTGTCTTGTGCGTGCTATTGGTTTGTGGTAGATGATAAAGCTCTCCAGGCCTGGGACGTGGTTTCTGCGCATCATTAAAAGTGGTCAGTGCACTTATGGAACCAGGTCAGTAATAGCATAGGGTGCCACTAACACCTGCCTACAACCTACATGCCCAAAATACCTACATCCTGGATGAATGTTGTTCTCAAGGGTGAAATGCACTCAGAGAAACCACCGTGTTTCACTGCTGCATGAAAACTAACCTAAAAGTGACACTGAATATGCATGAGTCCTAACACAGGGGAAGTGAAGTCTAGTCTGTAGGACAGGGAGACCGTTTGCCTCAGAGAACCATGGGCAGCCTACAGCCAGACCAAAATTTTACCAGCTTCTTGAAACTGGCTCTGCTAGTTTAAGATCAGCAAGCAGCAATTGCCTAGCCCTGGAAACATGACCAGTTCCTGATGCTGTTACTCATCGAGGAAAGAACAAAGACCTGCTGACACACACACACACAGCAACCAACAAAGAAGAGACAACAACATATTACCGAAGGACCTCAAATAATCGACAACTTTCTCTGTATTTCCTGGCTATGCCAATAATCCTTTGCACTTAACCTGGAATAGTGGGGTCAGCGGTGAGGGAAGAATTAATCCACCACTCTAATTAAGGTCCGGGAATGTAGACCACTGGGATAGGAAGCAGATTTCTCATTAAGGTGATCTAAGTCAGTCCCAATGCTGCTAATGAGCAAGATGGAAACACAGATCTGTCTTTCAGTTGAAACAGATGCTTTAAGTAATGAAATTGAACCCAGATGATATGAAACCACTGTGATTACTTCCCCCTCCAGTGCCCAAGAAAAGGTGCATTCCCAACCCCTCCTGGACCGACAAAAGAAAATCTGAATGTTTTCATCATAAAGAGAAAAGAGAGAAGAGGACAGAAACAGCCAGCATAGTGCCTTACGAACATAGCATATGTGAAAGAAGCCCAACACTCAAAACCAAAATCAGGTCAGAATCCAGCCTCCCACTTGCCATGCAACACACAAAGGCAGAATTGTAAAGCCGACTAACAACGGTCCAGAAAGACATTTTTGGATGTGGCAAATGCAGTGACAAATGCAGATTTGCTTCATCTCTCATTGGTGGCCACTGTGATTGCCCAGCAAGTCATGCTGCGGAAAGAAGATATGGAAATGGGCCCTTCAGGCACGGTCATATATCCTCGAGAGCAAAAGAAACACCACACAGGAGGGACCAGTCTTTTATCTGTCTGGATGCTTCAAAGAAAGCCACAATGCACTCTACTTACAGACACGTTTGTGCAGACAAGTGCGTACTGCTGCAGGATGGGGGAAATGCCTCCCTGAATGCCAGCGGGTAAGCAGTTTGTACCCTGAAGCCTGGATGTTGACATGCACGTATCAAAGTCATTGCATTGCGGTAGTTGTGAATCTAGCCAGGACCCACCGCAGCACACATCACAGGTCCATGCTGACATCAAAACCATGCTTGGCCCTTTCACAAAGAGAACATCCACTGCAGGAGACACAGCAAGTGATGATTTGATCTTTATTAAAGAGGCACCACACAAGATGGGGGTGCCACTGCACATGGAAAGAGTCGATTAAAAAAAATCTTAATCACTTTGCAAAACAAAGCCAACAGACAGTGGTGAACAGACGCTGGTTTCCCTCACCCATTCAAGGAAAATACCACTGATGAGGAATCTGAAGCAAAATTAATGGGCACTTTCCATTCACATTTCATGTGGTAATTAGCCCTCATTGCACAATTGGGAATGCCAGTGTAAGGGAATGGAGGGTACAGTCAGAAGCAGAAAGGGATATGAAAGCAGGCAGCTTTTCCCCAGGAGGAGAGGAGAGGGAGGGAGGGCAGATCAAAGGCCCCTCCAGCAACAGTGAGCAGCAAAGAAAATCCACGTCCAGTAGACAAAAGCCGGCCAGGCTGCTCGAGCCATGCCTTCATCTTCTGTGCAGCATCACCAGGGCCGCGCCAACTGCCGCGTCCACGTCCTTCCCGTAGACCACGGGAAACGGGAACGCTCCCTCTACCTCCTGCCTCAGGACTTCGTTTCTGGAGAGGGCGCTCCCGCTTCCCAGGATCCTCTTCACTCCTGCCTCCCTCAGGCACTCCGCTGGCAACATGGAACGCAGGTTTTGAACGATCCCGCGGCACAGACCTCTGGTCACGTGACCTAGAGAGAGGTCAGAGGCGGCGATGCCCGTCACCGAAGCCAGCTGCTCCGGTACATGCCTTTCCCCAAACACAGTGGGGCAAATTGAGAGTCCGGTGTCCCTTTGGGCCAAGGCTGCTTTGATTGTTCGTGTGTAGAGCGTGGACTCCAGAACTTCAAGCCCTGCAAAAAGAAAGCGGCATCTTAGTAATGTGCATCTCTGAGTCTGCACGGGTCCAAAGCGGAGCAGGCAAAAGGCCCTGGATGCCCAGCAGTACAAAAGGCCTGACACTGTTCTTGTTCTGCATTTGATTCCTCCTGTCCCTAAAGAAATCTCCTTAAAGGTCACTCTCCAGCCACCTGTGGTGATTCACCAAGTCTCTTCTGAGTACCAACACAGACATTTCTGGCAAACAGATGCATTTCCTCCTCTTTGCTACTGGGTTGGCTTAATCTAAGCACCAACAGTGAAGCAGTTTGCCTGTTTGGACACTAACCAGCTAGCAATCTTTTCTTAACGGGGCAATCAGCACAGACACCTCTTCCCTTCCCCAGTTATGCAGCCAGCAAAACAGAACCTCCCCTTCCCCAGTTATGCAGCCAGCAAAACAGAGCGCAGCACTCTTTTCACATGGTGGTTGGATAACAGATTCTAGAAGGCACTGAGACGACCCACCGAGAGTCTATCAAAGGAGCCACAAAAACAGATTTTAAAGTACTCTGGAGAAATGACATGATTGTCTTATGTGATGCTCAAGTCCATTAAGTATTTAAAGCACTGTGAAAACTTCCACCAAGGCAATTAATATAATCAAATCCTTTCTAGACTCTAGCCATGCAAATGAGCTACCAACTTCAAGTTTATTGACTTGTAATTTTTCCTTTGAAAGTTCTTCCTTCTGAAATGGAAGCCGCAGAGAAACCTTTTGCTCTTGCTCATTGGAAAACAAAACCCAGACGCAATCTGAATGCAGGTTCCAGTCATGTCATCCCTAGCACAAGCCCTAAGAGTTGCAGGAAATTGCTCCGGGTAGAATTAATGGAGTGTTACATCACTGCTGCTCACAGCATCCCACAACAGAGCATAGCTTCTTGGATCGACACAGCCCCCAATAACTTGCTACCAGGTAAGTTTTGAAGGTCCTCAGAATCCTTTACCCAACTCTGCCATCCACTGGCCCAGCATATTCACAAACGTCGCCAGCACATTGCCCCCGTTCAGCGAGGCTGCCACAGCCAGATAGTGGCCATCAAAATAAGGGAAATAAGCAACGCTTGATGAAGAATCAGGTGTCTCTGCAGGCTGGAACCCCCAAGGCATGGAGACGGTGAGCTGAGCAGAGGTGCTGATGTTGAGAACTAGGACAAGAAAGAAGAGATTTCCTTTTTTTAGCAGGCTACCCTGAATGGAAAAAGTAACATAACCAGATGAGCATAAAATTCGCAAGCAGACAGCGAAATCATGGTTGGGCAAAAGACTGTTATCTTATGAACAGTAACATTTTAAATCCGTCCTTCCATGGCCTAGCCAGTGGCAGCCTACTCTATCAGCAAGTCTTAGTTGTGACGGTCCAGCTGCAGGAAGCTACCTGCATCACTCCTCTCGGCCAGACAGGAGTACACAGAGCACTGGAAATCTCCCAGGGCCAGTCCCACTTCTGCTCCCTTTGGAATTCCATGCCAGCCACGGGACATCCTTCCGGCAACGTCGCCAGGGTCACCCACTTCAGGAAGCAAGTGAATGGGAAAACCGGACTCTCTCAAGCTGCAAGCAAACCAACATGCAGGTAGATTAGTTACCATTAAGATCATGCTGCCTGGCTACATGACCACCCTCACACAGTCACAAGTTGGTGTGACCATCTGTTCCCTGTTGTGCCTTGGATAAATTCAGCCCTCCAGTTCCAGGGGCAATACTGGTTAAAAACTCACCTGACTTTGAACTGAACAGATGAGGAGAGTTAGTGCACTCACCGACTATTTCATTTTATTTGACCTACCAGGGGCTCAACAGCAACACATACCTCCTACAGTTAAGCAATGCTGGAAAGAGCAATCCCAAAAACAGATATGCAACCAATTTTCAAGTGCCAAAGAATGCCAACTTCTAGCCACTCTTGTGCAGGGGTTATCAGGTTAAAACCAACCTTGGACAAATTAGCTTGGACAGGCTCCATAAGCAAACAAACTGCAAGATGTGTCTAGGTTACTTTTCTACAACTACTATATCAAGTTAGTGAACGCTCAATGCCAAATACACGTATCCATCAACCTTTCAGCAGGCGAGAATGTGGTTTACCTTTACTGACAGAGATCTTTGTGCACTGGAGTCCTGGCCCAAGCTGACCCCTGCATTGTACAGGGCCCTGGACCTCCACCCCCTGAAAGAGGAAGCCATTAAAAGGAGAGAACAGAACCAATTTCTCAAGCGAGATGTCCAGCACCCTTTAACTGACATGGTGAGTGGGTTTTTATGCTTGTGCAAATGCTCAGCTGAAGGAACTCGAGTGAAATTCTCTCTTGACCCACTGTGCAGGTAAAGCACTGGTAGCATCGGGGCAGGCTAAGCACTCTGCTGCACCAACAAAACTCGTCCCAGCCCTACAAAGATGATCCTAGTGAGCAAGGGGGCAGGTCTGGGTCTGTGGCCTCTTGGCTGAGCCTCTTGACCAGACCTTCTCTTCAGTGTTTATCAGGATGCCCAAGCCAGCAGGTACTAGCAGAGACAAGACTCCCGCGATGTTGGCCTTTACCCCTGACAAACTGGACTGACACCCAAAGATTCATTCAGCACAGACAAAACAACCGTCACATGGGAGCAGCTTTCAATCACCACACACCTGCAGCACGTTCATAGGTATGTCCTAGAGATGTGTTCACACCACCTGGTCCGCACAATAAATGCAGTCCACCGAGGACCCTGTTACTTACATCTCAGTGTTCCAGCTTTTACTTCTGGAACTGAAATATCCCCAGCTGGCAGCATTCTGGACAGACATCAGCGGCTTCTCCAGGTCACACAGCATTGCAACCACGTAGTCATGGATGGTACCAGCCGCATCGTAGGACTTCAGAAAGTCAGGGCTGTTTCACAAAAGAAAGAAAGTCGCCATTGTTTTGTTGTACATTCAACTGCCAATCATTTCCATTTGTAGCGAACAGTTAAAACAAACCTGGTAACAGTAAAAGAAACCTGTGTAGTTCCAGAAAGCTAAATTATTGGAACAATTAAACACATAGCAAAAACAGGTGCCCACGAAAAGTTTCTGCTGATGGCAGGAAGGTGCTTGTCAAAACTCTTCTCCAAAAGTTTTCACCTTTTCCGGGAGCCTGGATGCAAAAAATGGAAATTGGCTTTGGCAACTGAAACATTTCACCAAAATCTGACTTCTGTAAATTGAATTGATGTTGTTTGTTTAACACCCATTTTTCGCTGAAAGACTCAGGAAAGCAAAAAAAATTAACCAGCTCTAGCAGCCATCTTCACCACGGCAGCTGTTTTGTTAACACCCGTGTGGTCACTAATGATGCAATTACATTTTTGCTGAACATTCCCATTAGGCTACTTGAACTTGTCCAGGAAAGAAGGATTTAAACAGTGAGTGGCCGAGGAAAACAATTGCTCATTGAAGAAAAACTGCTAATGCTCTAGGGTGAATTGTTACTTTCCAATAGAACTTCTTGACATCCTTACAGAATAATAATAATAATAATAATAATAATAATGTAACCTGCTTTGAGTATTATGCCTGCCTTTATCTTTGTCGGGGAGGTTAAATGTATTAGGTAGAACCCAATGAGAAGTGACTCTTAAATGCTTCTTAAATGTTAGTAAAATTCAGTTCTGTTCCTTTAGCAAGGGCATCTTTTACATAAGGAAAGAATCAAAACGGCTCGGGCACTGAAAAGATCCAGGCAGGCTTCAAATATTCTCTACCCAAACTTCTGGAAGAAGTCAACACAACCCATCTTTCGCTCCTCTCTCATAACAGGACTTCCTTGCTCAGGATGGTGTTGGCGCTTTGAGAGAGATAACAACTTTCTGCAGCTGAAACAGTTTCAAAATCTAACACAGAGGTTTTGTGGCTTGCATCCCAAGTAGCAGCTGATGCCAAGTTATGTTGGACCCCAGCGGAGGCTTGCTGGAATGCTGTGCATCTCTCACAGATACCAGGGCTAATTTAGGGCTCATTCTCTTAGCACCCAGCTGAAACCAACCCTTCACTTATTAGATACTGTGCTAAACATGCAAAGCCACTCTGCCCAAGGCATAACTACTGTGGTAGAACTGTATTGTCTGATGTGGCTTTTGTTAAGAAAAGCAAACTTTTCTGGTCAGGTATTAAGCGCTTTGTGATGATGTTTATGAGAAGAATCCGGTCTCTCACAGTCGTGCAGTCTGTTTCAAATGGAAGTATTGAATACAATCTTGGGCCATTTAATTAACATTAAGTGGAGGGCTGGTTCCTCTCTCATGTCTCCTCCAGACAATGCATTACGACACCTAGGTCGAAAGACAGTGGCCAACCCTGAACTGGCAGTAACTTTCTGCACGAACAGGATTGTCACTTGAGCGCCGGCCAAAAAACAGCTAATGAAACAGCTCAATACAGGAACTTGAATGAACAGCGCCGTACTTGTTTTTTAAATACCAGAAGATGGTGGCACACCCGAATCCTGTGGCCAAGCTGATGTGTGACTGGGGTTGAGGAAGCGAAGAGAGGAAGCTGCAGCTGCACCGGCTGTCCTGCCATGTAACCAGGTGACTGACTGCTGCAGGCTCCCAGGTAGAACCTGTTCCACTCTCCGTCCAGCTGCAACCTGGAATAAGCAGTGGTTGAGAAGCCCTGCAGATTACTCACTTGCCAGGTCCCTTTCCATCCCCATTACCAAAGGAATAAATTATGCACCAGCAGTCTCTCCCCAGTGGCTCACAGGCAACAGGTTCAGACCCCACACCACTGCTCACAGCTGCAGGGAATTCTGCTTTCTAGTTTGATGGGGACAGCAACGTAGGGCATTGCCTGCGTGTATCACTTGCTCAGTCTAGTTTCCCATGAGCCAAGGTGGTTGGGGAACCCATGTTACGCACGTCACGTAGGCAAGCAGTGACTGTAGTCACACCGAACTTTCAGACTTTCCAGCTCGAATACCCTCCCCTAATGCTGGTCACCCTTTTCTGAACTAAAAAGAATGCTATGCAGAATGCATTCGTTTGGTTAGGAATTAGGAACAGACCCGTGTTGTGACCATGCTGGGGCCAGAAGGCCACAGCTTAGGGTAAGGCCTTGAGAGCCCCGTGACACTACTGCCGTCCTGTGATGCAGCATAAAAGAACCAGAGCAGGGGTGAGGATCTGACACCCAGAAGCTAAACACCACGGGAGGAGGCTAAGGTGGCAAAGCATTGATAAGGGATCATTTCTACGCTGACTGTGGTCTTCACTAGTCTGAACAGGAACTCTGCACAACTCTTGCAAAGCAGCCTCGCACAAAAGCTGAAAGGTGCAGTAATACACAAAGCAGGCAAAGTAAATCTTCTTTGCAATCTTTTTCAACTCCAATTTCTAATCTGTTTATTTTTCTAGTTTTAAAATGGGTTCTAAGGAATATTATTAACCACAAGGCTAACCTTAAAGGATGCCATTAAAAATGCAATTTGCAACCCAGGGTGTGTGGGGCTTCACTTAGGCCACTTAAGCTGATTTGAGAGCAAACACTCCCCTTCACTTTGTTGAGTACAAGAACTAAAAAACAAAACAAGAAGTGACACGTGGCTTTATGAAATGAAATATTAATGACCACCACACAAAAACGTAGGCATATGATGGACTTGCGGAGTCGTTATGCAGCCCTTGGGAGAACAAGAAAGCAAGCAACAGACCCTGCAGTCCATCAGCCTTTGCATATAGTCCTTGGTGATGGCTTTAGTATTTAAAAACCAAATCACAGCCAGTAATGAATAGTTCACCATCTCTTAGAGCAATTAAGATCTGGACAACATCTGGCAGGCAGTGACCAGTACTTTCTGGAAATAGTGCTATAACTTAAAAGGAATCTCTACTTCACCTCAGCAACTTAATAACATTAGTTAATATCTGCTTAATTGCCTGTAAGCGAGTCTCATGAGTTACAGAAGGAATAAAGACGTGGAAACAGATTCTGAAATGGGGTATCGGGGCTCCAGAAAAAAGAAATCTATTCCACGATTGCTCTGTGCAGAGTTTACGATCGAAAGACCCCCAGCCAGCTCACCTACGCACACAGTTACACACGCACAAGAGCGTAGGCAGGATCAAGACCCATATGACTCAGTCACTGGGACCAATTTGGTTTCTAATGACTTATCCCCACCCGAATCCTACGGATGACATTAGTCACTGCCGAAACGCTCACAAAAATATGATGTTGCAGTCATCTCTGCCTTACCAGAAAACAAGTTTGTTTAATATTGGGAGAGTGGGGGGGGAAGGTTTAAATCTAACACTGATTTAAATAATCTTATGTAAAATTTCACGGTTTCTTGTATTGTCCTTTCACACTGGAAGCTTTGGTAAAACCGCAGCGCTGCGCAGAGTATTATGGTTAATGCTACGCTCACTTCCACACAGGCAGCCACCTCCGTCGAACTTTTCATGGCGCGCATACAACAAGAAAAGAGGAATTACTGGAAAGTATCCAGACAACTCACTGGACAGCTAGTTAAAAACGTCTCCGAAGGGGAAGGAACTACATAAAAAAAAGCATTGCAAGTCATCAGGAAGCCCATACTGGCTGGCAACGGACACAGGGTAGGGGGACGGACGACTCTTCGTCTCCAAAAATGCAACCTTTCTTCGTGCGTTGACCGCAGTTGACTTCACTGGGACTGCTTCTCCTAAAGATTCACAATGACCGATGACAGTCATTCACCAGAGAGCACAGTCCAGTGGAAGAGGCGGCCGGACAGGCCGGACTGTGCCAATTCACAGGGCACGCGTGTTTCAGAGGATCTCCTGATCACTGCACTTTATAGAAAGTCAAGGTGAACACGTGACAACTTTCTCCAGATCAGCCCAGTGCTAAAAATGTAATAATAATAATCTCCCACATTAAGATCCACCTCCCACGACCGCTGCCGCTTCTCTTCAACGCTACAATCTGTGAAGCAAGTCTGCCGAAGGGTAGGTGGGAGTTACCTTGATTTCTTTTCCAGAACACGACCCCGTGCATTTGTCCCGAAATACCGACGCGGCTCACTCTTTGCAGCTGCTGCCGAGGAAGAGCCGCCAGGCATTCGTTCACGGCTCTTATTATCCTCTGGACATCTTGCTCCGTCCCCTGCGAGCAGAAAGCATCACGTCGAGGGTCAAAGCGCTGGGGGGGTCATTGCTTAGATCTACATTTTTCGATCCCACAAAAGGCGAAGGACACACGCTGCAACCCCGGGGCACGAGGCGAAACCAGGGCGACGTCGCGGAGAGCGGCGCCTACCTGGGCGCCAGCGGCCGGGCTGTCCGCCCGC